CTCTATTAGTATATTTATACATTTTAATTAATTTCTGCTTTTTATTATTTGCATCTACTTTTTCTGGGTTTAATTTACTGTTTTTCCCCCTCACTTCTTACGATGGAAACTTAGCTCTATTGTCAAGCCTTTCTTCTGTTCTTCTTTCTGTCTTCTGTAACACCCATTTAAGGGTGGGTGTTATTCTTTAAGCATAGTTTTATGCATATCTCACAAGATATGTTATTTAATGTTTTTATTGTCACCCAGTTAAAAATATTTTCTAATTTCCATTGGGCTTTTCTCTTTGACCCATAAATTATTTAGAAGTGAATTTTTAAATTTCAAATATACAGATTTTTCTAGTTATCTTTTTTTTGATATCTAACTTCAATGTATTGTGGACTTAGAACATACTGAGTAATTTCAGTTCTTGACAGTTGTTGAGACTTGCTTTATGGCCCAGAATATGGTCAATATTTGTATATGCTGCATAAATCCTTGCGAAAAAAATGGTTTTCTATGGTTGTTGAGTTTTTTTATATATGCCAGTTAAATCAAGTTTGTTAATTGTTTTCAAATCTTTACTCTTGTAGTTTTGTTCTTCTAAACCGAGAAAGGTGTGTTCAGATGTAATATATTTGTGGGTTTGTCAGATTTTCCTTGTAGTTCTGTTGATTTTTGTTTTATATATCTTAAATCTGTGTTATGAGGTGAAAACAAATATATGTTTGTGTTTTGAATTTTATATCATTATAAAATGTTTCTTTTTAAGCATGCATTTTAAAGTCTACTTTGATATTTTAATATCAGACAGTTTTCTTATATTTAATTTTGGTATAAGGTATATTTTTTTCCACCTTTTCACTTCCAAAGCTCTATCCTTATATTTAAGGTATGTGTCTAGTAAGCAGTGTGGCTTGAATTTTTTGTTTTTGTATTCAAAACAAAATTTTTTTCTTAGTTCTCTTATATTTAATGTAAATTCTGATATTTAGATTTTTAATCTCCTAGCTACCTTTTTAATTTTTATTTATCCTGTTTTGTTTCCTTTGTCTTTCCTATTTTGCCTTATTTCATTTTTTTCTCTGTGTTAATGTAGTTATTGTGTATAGTTATGTGTGCATACCTTGTAACTATTATTTTAGTGGTTATCCTAGATGGTACTAGTTTGACTTCTCAAAGACTAACATAAATTTCTAATTTTATGTCTTTTCAACAATACAGAGATCTTAGGACACTTTAACTCCAGCATTTACCCTGCTTACTTTTATGCTATTGCTGTCAAGTATTTTACTGCTATATTATAATATAGCAGGTATATATATATATATATATATAGCAGTAAAGAGCAGGACTTTGCTCTTCTATATATATTATATAGCAGTAAAATATATATAAAATATATATAACTTATTTATTTAATATATATATTACTGATATATATATATATATTTTTTCAAGCCTTACAAGACATTAATACTTTTAAGTCAGTATTAATTTAGATTTACCCACAAATTTACCGGTTTTTGTTGATGTTTATGCCCACATCTCTAAGCTTCTACGTGGCTCATCTTCTGCCTAAAGAGCACCTTATAGTATTTAGGTCTGCTGGTAATCAATCTTTAGTTTTTCCTTCTTCTTTTCTTTCTCACCTAAAATGGTCTTTAATTTTCACGTTTACTCATGATGTTGATTCAGAATTCTCAGTTGAGAGTAATTTTCCTTAGTGTTTTAAAATACTATTTCATGTTTCATGGCTTCTGCTGTTCCTAGTGAGAACTTTGCTATCAGTTTGATTGTTGCTTTTTTGCTGGTAATTTCTACCCATTATCTGGTTTTAAGATTTTTTCTTTGTCCTTAGTTCTCAGCAGTCTTGCTGTTATGCACCTCCATGTTGTTTTCTTTTTATTTATCCTTCTTGGAGTTTGTAAAACTTATTTAATTTGTAGTTTAAGCTTTCATCAGCTTCTGAAAATTCTCATTAAATATTGCTTTTGCCCCATTTTCTTTCTCAAGAATTCTGGTTTTGAGTATGTTAACTCTTCTGACCTTGTCCCTCTGCTTTTTCATCCTTTTAGTACTCCATGCTTCTTTCTGTATATTTTCATCTGACCTATCTTCTAGTTCACTAATTCTCTATTTAGCTGTGTGTAAATCTAAATTTTTCAGTTCTGTTAATAGAATGTCCATTTGACTTTTTTTAATTTCCAGTTTTCTGTTGAATTCTCAATTTTAAAAAAATCTCATTTAATATTCTAAATAGAGTTATTTTAAAGTCTGTGTCAGTACCTGGATCTCCTGTTGAGCTTTTCTGTCAGCTTTAATTTCTCTTGTTTTTTGTTGTGGTTCTTCGTTTTCTGTCCATTATTTTTGATCGGAAACCAAGCATTACATGTGATGAATGTAAAAAATAATTTGAGTCCTAGTATGATAATATCTTCATGTAAATAGTATTTGTATTTGCATATAGCTTTTGATTATGTAACTAGCAATCCTGGATTATTTTAATTCAATATTGAGATGGTTTTAAATTAGATTTCAGTTCCTGTGATGGCTTGTCTATTTGCAGTTTACCTTGACTCCTGAGGGTGTAGCCCTTCCGAGCGCTAACCTAACGTGTAGGGTGTTTTCAAAATTCCCCTTAATGTGGGCTCTGGCCTCCAGTTTTCTCCTCTAATCTTGCAAGACTGCCAGAAGTCCTGCTCAAGTTTTCAGCTATCTCTTCCAGAATTGGTGGTGGCCATTCTGTTCTGTAGGAAAGCTGTCCCAAATTCTGGACTTTGCTCTTCTAGCGTTCTTTCTTCTCCTTGATATCGCGTTCCCTTGTTAGCTCTTAAATTCTGTCAGGCAAATTTTTAAAAATGCATTTTTTCAGCTTTACTAGTTCTTAGTGGAAGGGTGATCATTTTACAAGTATCTCTTCCATTATTGGATGTGAAAGTCTTCCTTATTCTTTTTTTAAAGCCACCTTTTTAAAAAAAATATGTGGGTATATTCAAAATGAATATATTTTATATATTTTCAATAAATAAAGTGCAGAAATGTTAAGCTGGCTTTTGCTACATTTTTATTCTTGATTTTATGCTACTCTGATTAGAGCAGAATGCCATCTAAGCTTTCTCTTTACATTCAGATTTCCCTTATATTGCCTATTTCTTAGAAAAAGTGAAGAGTAGTAGAGGTTATCAATTCATTAGAGTTTTTAAAGTATACTCAGTGGCAATCATGTTTAATTGAAATTATTTTGAACAAATGAACATCAGTAGTCAGAAGTTGTGGGCTCTTTCAGTGCTTGATTACCTCACATATTTCTAAAACATTTTATCAGATACTGTTTCATTGTGTACCATTGAAATCCTGAGTCAGAATAAACATATCCAGAGTATGTATGTAGTCCTTATAGATATCATGGAAGACTAAACAGGATAAATTTGTGGAAAAATTAAATTTTTAATGTATAATAACTCCTGTTTTTTCTAATTTTACTCATAAAGTAGATTTATTATTTGAAGTATTCAGATAAAACAACTTTCTAATATACATGCTGTGTTGGGGGTCCACAAAGCCATCCCCATATTTAGAGGTTACTCACCATACAATTTTACTCATGACTACTATTTATTACAGTAATGGTAATAAGCACATGCACCTGGATCATAAGGGGGAAGAGCACAGGTAAGGTCTAGAGGAATCTGTGTGTAGGCATTTGTATGTATTCTCCCTCTCATGAGGGATCACAAAGAGCACACTCTTCCCCAGCAATGAAAATACATGTTTGCCATGTTTCTGCCCATGGAAACCCACAAGAAACTCAGCGCTCAGGGTTTTTATTGGAGGCTAGTCTTATAGCACCCTTTGACTAGCACATATCCAAAATTTCAAACTTCCAGAAGGAAACCAGATGTTCAGTATAAGCTTCATTGTTGGTATGAACAGTTTAGGCATAGTGAGCCACTCTTAACGTTTAGGAAAAGTTTTATACTCGGTATAGGGAACCAGACAAGTTCCCCAATGCCAGCCAAGGGTCAACCTTGCAAGTAGGTCTTTCTAAGGATAGCAGTCTCAGCCTGCTATGTTAAATGTTTTCTACACACATGCCTAAAATGACTCACTGTCCAAATTATCTGCATTGTTTATAAATATCAAAGGTCTGCATGATAATTTCTATTTTGATGATTAGTGAACTGTTTATCATTCAACTTAGCTAAAATACCTGGTATTTATAATATCTTAATATGTTTCATACAGGCTTTTACAATGTGCCAATGCCGCTTGTCACTTTGAATCCATGTGTGGGAAGAAGAGGACAGTGTTAGAACATTTAGTACATCTAAAAGAATGTTTAAAAAATTACAATGGGAAATAATCCATTATGACAGGACACTTCAGATGTCTCTTTTTAAAGTTCATATTGAACCACCCACATATTTTTCAGATTTCAGTAGACTTGTTTTTCTTATGTGAGCTTTTTGGGGGAAGTACTTTGTTACCATGAATTTTGGCTAAAGCAGCTGAAGTTCACTTGGCACTCAGAAATAAATATTGAAAAAGTAATTTGTGACTACTATTAGAATCAAGTTGAGAAATCTTAGATATTAAAGACTAGATTCCTGTTTGTAAATGTGGAAGCTGACCAGAAAGTTAAGTGACTGTCAGCAAAACTGTACTTAGCTGGTTACTTTTATTTCATCCATTTTTAGTGAGAATATGCACTTGAAAACATTAATGAAAAATACCAAGAAGCTATGGATTAATTTTGAGTTTCATCTGGTAACTTTGGATAGCTTTTTATACCTAATTTGGTCATGTCATTTATTCAACAAGTTTCTTCAGCCCCTGCTATGTATCAGACACTAATTTTAGGTCCTGAAGATAATTTTTTTCCTCATTTGTAATCAAAGTATGACCTACTTAAGGATGGCTTAGAGCTGCCTGCTTTTCTTCAGGTTGTAAAGTACATACATGTACTACATTATATCCTGATCCCTCAAAGTATATCTTTTTTTCCTCTCTTTAAGGTAATACTGCATTACATGATTGTGCAGAATCTGGAAGTTTGGACATCATGAAGATGCTTCTTATGTATTGTGCCAAGATGGAAAAGGATGGTTATGGAATGACTCCCCTTCTCTCAGCAAGTGTGACTGGTCACACGAATATTGTGGATTTTCTGACACACCATGCACAGACCAGCAAGACGGAACGTATCAATGCTCTAGAGCTTCTGGGAGCTACATTTGTAGACAAAAAAAGAGATCTCCTTGGGGCTTTGAAATACTGGAAAAAGGCAATGAACATGAGGTACAGTGACAGGACTAATATAATTAGTAAACCAGTACCGCAGACACTAATAATGGCTTATGATTATGCCAAGGAGGTAAACAGTGCAGAAGAGCTAGAAGGTCTCATTGCCGATCCTGATGAGATGAGAATGCAGGCACTATTAATTAGAGAGCGTATTCTTGGTCCTTCTCATCCTGATACCTCTTACTATATTAGATATAGGGGCGCTGTCTATGCAGACTCTGGCAATTTCAAACGATGCATCAACCTATGGAAGTATGCTTTGGATATGCAGCAAAATAATTTGGACCCGTTAAGCCCAATGACTGCCAGCAGCTTATTATCTTTTGCAGAACTGTTCTCTTTTATGCTACAGGATAGGGCTAAAGGCCTGCTGGGTACTACTGTTACATTTGATGATCTTATGGGCATACTGTGCAAAAGCGTCCTTGAAATAGAACGAGCTATTAAACAAACTCAGTGTCCAGCTGACCCATTACAGTTAAATAAGGCCCTTTCCATCATCTTGCACTTAATTTGCTTGTTAGAAAAAGTTCCTTGTACTCTAGAACAGGACCATTTCAAAAAGCAGACTATATACAGATTTCTTAAGCTGCATCCGAGGGGAAAGAATAACTTCAGCCCTCTTCATCTGGCTGTGGACAAGAATACTACATGTGTAGGGCGGTACCCTGTTTGTAAATTTCCATCTCTGCAAGTTACTGCGATACTGATAGAATGTGGTGCTGATGTGAACGTCAGAGACTCCGATGACAACAGTCCCCTACATATCGCTGCTCTGAACAACCATCCAGATATCATGAATCTCCTTATTAAATCAGGTGCACATTTTGATGCCACAAACTTGCACAAACAAACTGCTAGTGACTTGCTGGACGAGAAGGAAATAGCTAAAAATTTGATCCAGCCCATAAATCATACTACATTGCAGTGTCTTGCTGCTCGTGTCATAGTGAATCATAGAATATATTATAAAGGGCATATCCCAGAAAAGCTAGAGACCTTTGTTTCACTTCATAGATGATAATTTGACTGTATTTTAGCACTGTTAAAAGCACGAATTGGTAACAGTTGTTTCATAAACGAGCACTGTTGTGATAACACCAGCATTCATTTAGCTTGATATCATCGTGCTCTCATTGGCTAAACCATTATAAGCATCAAATTCACAAGTTTGGTTTCCCAGTATTTAATATAAATATACCATATAATATATTGTTTGTGAATTATTGAAAAACGTAATGTCATATTCAAATTTCTAAAATTGTCTGCCAAAGGCTTATTCATTCTGGTTTTGTTTGCTGTTGGGTGTTTGGAACAGAGTTAACCATATTTCGGTGGTGTCTTTATACTTTACTGGTTTGTGAATTTTATATAATTGAAGGTCGTTTTTTCCTGCTTCTTCCTTCCCTTCTTCAAGTTTCTCCCCAGTTTCCATTTTATTTTTTTTCCTAACCATTTCTATTATAATTTTTTCCCCTTATGGACCCATGCTAGGTTGTACAAACTTTATGGACTTATTACCATTTGCAGTTACCATAAGTGCTTTATCTTCTCTATGCACCGGCTTAAACTTGACTGTTGTATGTTAGCATATTTTCTATGCAGCAGTTGGTCGACTTCAACTCAAAACACTGTTTTCTTAAGTTTGTTACAAAGTTCATTTTATGGAAGTACTCTTATAGCATGACAATTTTTAGAGCTATAAATTAGCTATCTTAGCTCAAGCTTTTTGGTTTGTTTTTTTTCTACATCTGAGGTTTCTTTTCTCTAATCCACTGAAATTATTGTGTGCTAAATTTGGGAAACAAATCTATTCTAACTCATTAACCCAGTTGAAATTTAGGTCTGTCATCTTAATATATCATGCAGTAAAAGGAAGAATCTTTCTAAAGTGACCCACCTTTCATGCTGCTCCAGCGTTGTCCTGCTTGTGCTGATGGTGTGACTAGGTGTAGAGAATTTGCTTAAATTTAACCTCAAAGTTTATCACACAGCTTAACAAGTCACATTGAAATATTCAGTAATTGAACTGCAAATCACTTTTAGTTACAAAAAGAGCTAAAGCATGTCAGTGGCATGATGCTTGCCAAGCTAGATCTAGGCATCTAGGATAATTAAGGTATTTTAGTATGCAATTTACTGCCATAGTATTAAAGGTCAGTAACAGTGTTCTTTCTTTCTTCAAGTTTATGTATACCTTTAAAAATAACTTGCATGAATTACTTTGGTCTCAATTATTTGTTACCCTAGTTTAAACACAAAAGGTTGCAGTGCTTTCTGTTCCCTTACTGAAAATTAGCTTTTCTTTTTTCTCTTCTCTTCTCTCCTCTCTTCTCCTCTCTTCTCTTCTCTCTTCTTCTTTTCTCTTCTCTTCTCTGATTTGCTAATGCCACAGAAAGGGCTCTTTTAACTTAAGAAAAGATAAATGAAAAGTACTTTCTAAAAAAGATTCAGGTAATTATCATTCAGCACTTTATTGTAATTCAGAATAAAATTTATGATGGCATATTTGCCCTGCAAATGTCTTAATGAAATTGTTCTGAATAAAAAGCTCCTTATTGATTTGAGAAAAACTCAGTTTACCTGTGAGTTTAATGAACTGAATCACTCACTTGGATTTTTGTGTTGACATTTTATTCTGAGGGTTGATGTTATGCTATTTAAGTAGTCATTGCAAACAGTCGCATTAGGTTTATCATCATCTTTAGTCCGGAAAAAAGTTGTAATGAGTAGTAAATAAAAAGAACATTCGATTTTTAGGTTAAATAATTGAGGTTTAATTTTTAAAAAGATATTCTTACTCATTTTTACTATGTTGTAAATTTAATGTTACCATTGAAAAAGGTGGATTCAATATAAATGGGCACCCTCCAACATTTTGATGAAGAAGTTTTAGTTTTTCTTATTTACTGTGGGCAAATTTGATGAAATATTTGAACTGCCACATATATTAAGATACTTTGTGATGTATAGACTGATATTCTAGAAATATCAAAACATCAATATTTTGAAATCATCTGCCTCTAACATTGTGGTATAAAATTATATATGCATGAGCTATTTTTTTTAAAAGGAAAACTTTGCCAGTATAGTAAATCTACATTAGTTGATCTCAGTAATTTTGAGATAAAAGATGACAATTGGATTTTTAAGTGATTTAATATTTTCCCCTCATTTTGAGGGGCTGGGTGGGAGGGCTTACATGCTCTTAGAGTAAGGCATATCTCACACTGTTTTACAGGTGAACTTCGGTTGTGCAACTCCAGTATAAAATAAGGATTTCTTTAAATACCATTTTTCCATGACTAAAAAGAGATAACTTAGAAGTCAGTCTTGATAACTAATATGCCTTATTTCAATTAGGAAACAATTCTTTCTTCTCTATATGCCATCTCCACAAATGCCAGTGGCTCGGAGCTCTTAAAAAAAATCAGTTTAATATTTAATAGCTCAAAATTGTTCTTAATTTTATTTTAGGGGAATTTGGTTCATAAATATGACCTCAGACACTTAACAGGCCTTCATCAGTAAGTATTCTAAAAATTGTTGTGAGACTGAATAAAATACTTAAATTTGTGTTACTTTTTAACTACAGATGAGTACACTTAATACTTAACGAGGTAGTTATACTCATGTGAGTCAAACTAAACTATACATTGTAGCTTGGTGGTGTTGACTGGAGTTAATGTGTAAGTTTTGATTACATTTCTACAAAAATGCCCTACTGGGGCCTGCTGAATTTTAGATGTTCCACTATTTTGATCATTTCTGTAAAAGAAATGGTCATCAGACTCAGATTAGATACCAGTCTGCTTTATGAAGAAAAATAGATTATAGATTAAAAAGTAGTCATTTTTCTTATTTGTAAATCTGACAGACATATGCCCCAATCAACAAAGATAATTTGGTGCCCTTTATGAGTTTGAAGTTAAGTGATTGCTCACTTAAGGTCACTTAAGGTAAAGTGACTACCTTAAAGTGTAATATTTTAGAGACCCCATCTACTGTGACTTGGGAAAATGCATTAGGTTATATTTGGAAAAGTAGCTCTTTGTAAGTCCTATGGCCCAGCAGAAACCTTAGCTGAATTTACAAGTATATAATTCTTGTAATTAATTTTCTTAGAATTATGGGGACTGAATAAGATAACAACATATTCTTGTACACTATAACGGCAGCATTATTGCTTGGAACTTTAACCATTTTAGGGTTAAATACTAAGGAAACAAACTAATTGGTCATCATTGTTTTCTTTTTTTCTTTTTTCCTTTTTTACCCTCATGTATCACTAAACAGCTAGTTTCTCTCCCTTTTGTCTGTTCTCATTGTGTATTCTTCAAAAGAAGTACTGTATTCAGATGCCAGCCAAGAAATTGTCACACAATGGAAAATGATATGCCACAACATTCATTGTAAGGTTTAATAAAATTAAATTTGCACCAAATTTAAGTGTATTCTTATTAACTCTTAGAACTTGATTGGTATTAATACAAGTGATAGTGGACTCGTGTTTCAGAAAACACCTAATTGATAACTTATGGCCAGTTAGAACTTAAGAGATAATATTTATTATTAATACCTCTATATAAAAATGACTTATTTTTATTTTTCTAAATTTATTCTAAAAAATAAGTTTATTCTAAATTTTTGTCTAGTAAAGACCAGAGAAACTAAAGATATGGGAAGACTTGTCAAATGCATAAGAGAAAGGCTGCATTTGACTCTTGTTCTTGTTTTTTAATTGGTTTGGTATTTAAATATCAGACATATAAATATGCTACTATAAAGGTAAGTTTTATAAATTTATTTTTCATCACTTTTAAATTGTAAAATCTTAGTAGTCCTTGTTTTTCCCTTATATGTAAGTTACCTAATACAAAAAGTTTTAATAGAGCCAGAAAATGCACTAGTCATAATTTCTAAACTCCAAGCATAAATTGAAATATCCAATTTTGTAGGTTTTCCCTTTTGAATCATTGATATGCATTATCCATGACAAGTATAGGTTTTGTCATCCTTTTATAGGGCCCTGTAAACATTTCTTATTTGCCCTCAGTTTTGTGTTCCTGTGGTTGTCCCTACTACCACCACCATTATTTAAAAGGAAATCTTACTGCATTTATAAGGAAAAGAATGTTATATTTTTAAGTATCTGAGCAAGAAAATGTCTTAGCATATCCTCAAGGTACTCTGTTTCTCCAAAAACTTTATTTCACCTTTCTCATCTCTACTTTTGGATAGAATGATCTTTGTTGAGAAAATTGGGGCTGTGGGAGTTAAGTGAAAGGATTGGTTCTTGGGTGCCATGTTACCTTATTGTATGTTTGTTGTAAAGGCTCTTTCATTTTATTTTTTTTATTTATCTTTTAGGACAGTGTCTCTGTTGTCCAGGCTGGAGTGCAGTGGCACCATTATAGCTCACCACAGCCTCAAATTCCTGGGCTCAAAAGATTGTCCTGTTTCTGTCTTCAGAGTAGCTAGGACTACAGTCATGTAGCACCATGCCAAGCTAATTTTTTTTGTGTGTGTGGAGTGTCTTGCTGTGTTGCCCAGGCTGGTCTTGAACTCCTGGCCTCAAGTGATCCTCCCACCTTAACCTCCCAAAGTGTGGAATTACAGATGTGAGCTACTATGCCTGGCAAAGCTCTTTTAAATAAGATTTTCTCTTGTAAAATTATAGCTTTATATAATTATGTCAATTTATTTGATTTTCCTAATATACATATATGTCTGATATCAGAAGTGAAATAATAGAGTTCCCTGCCTTAAAAAAATTGAAAAGTTATACTTAACAAAGGAAATATATTTAAGACACATTCGCATGGAGAAGGATTTGATGAATAGTAGTGCCACTAGTACAATTAGTGTGCTTATTAATTCTATGTACTTTGGTATAAGTTGAGTGGAGTGCTTTAAAGTATTTGATATTATTATCAGCAAAAACAAAAATGGAAAGATTGATTCAGTCTATTATAGAAAAATTTTATGTATTAAAATTTTATTTATAAAATTTTTCAGTGATCAGTCTTTGAATTCTACATGATTTATTTTAGACATATTGAGCTAATTACATATTTTTTTCTTTTCCCAAAGACCAAATATAATTTTGTTAATGGCAGGTTTTTTCCCTTATTTACATAATAGATAATCAGTACTAATTGATCCTAGGATTGGTATTTATTTTAAAAATGTTTTTGTCCTTATAATTGTCTTAGTAGATTATAAAGAGTACTGTGATAATACATAGTTCTAAAACTTAATAGGCACTTTAATTTTTGTTTAAGCAAAAGGCATTTAATATATTTATCACATAGGTCCAAGTAGAGACAATTAAAAAACACAAACAGGACAAAATTGGCACCACAGCTTAAGATACAGAAATCAAAGAAGGGATGACCTAAGAATAAATGAAAAGAACACAGGGAGAGAAGCTGGACAGCCTAGGTCAAGGACATCTGCTCTGAGTAGGTTTCTTGCAGGTACCTAAAGGCTATGGGATGTTTCCAGAATTTAGTAGCATTTGTGTTCAAAGCTTTGCCCATGTTGGCTTCTAACAGGCTCTGGGTGGAGAGCAGGATGATCCTGACATACAGGGCGGTCCACTTGTTCTTTGGGACATCCAGGCAGATATTACCTGGGTGTGCACGTTGCAGTGGTAGTAGCCAGGTATGAGGAACTGCCCTGTGAGCACAATGTAAGTATAGCCACTGGAGCACTCCAGGGAGAGCTTATACCTGAAGATTTCATACACTCTTGCCACTGCCCCTTGAATGATTCCTACCCGTTTGGAAAGGTGGTCTGATTCAAGGAAGGCAGGAATTCTTTTGTTGCCAAACATCATGAGGGTCATCAGCTCCATCTGTCACCTCTTGCCAAAGGAGTCCTGGGTGGTGGCTCACTGGGTCAGCTCCCTTACCAGCAGTGGTGACGATGCTGGTGGCAGCTCTGGGAGGCCATCCTCACCATGATTCTTTAGCAAAAATAGTACCAGTTGAATATTCGTTCAGTCATTAATGAATTCCTGCAACACCAGGCACTATGCTACGTGATTATTATATTCTTTCACCATGGAAGGCTTTGGAAAATAAGGGGAAAAAACTCATCTAACATCCCAGTTATAAACTGTTAATTCTTAGGTATGTTTTCCTTTTTTCTTTTTCTCATTTTAAATCTTAATTTCTTTCAAGACAAATAGAAATTCTTAAAGTAGTGAATGGTAGCTAAAATTTGGTAAATTATGAAAATAGAATTGGGTCAAGAATGAATTAGAGTGTGACCAATTTCTGTTGGAAAATTGAGGGAGAATCAGGGATATTCCTCATGTCCTTTCAGGGTGATCTTTCACAAAAAAGTCCACATTCTTTGCCAGTAGGCAACAACTTCTGTTTATCTCTTCAGTAGCTGATAATTGGGATAGCTTATATTCATTTAAATATATAACTTTTACAGAAATTGTGGAAGCTGTTATACAGTTTATGAAATACATTTAAACCTTATTGATTATAATCTTAAGAATAAACTGGTCTTTTGTAGTACTTTGCATCACTTAGTGACTGGGATATGTTCTGAGACATGCATCCTTTAGGTGATTTTGTCAGGAGAAATCAGAGTATAGTGACACAAGCCTAAATGGCATAGCCTACTACACACCTAGGCTATATGGTACAGCCTGTTGCTCCTAGGCTGCAAACCTGTACGGTATGTTACCGTTCTGGATACTGTAGGCAATTGTAACATAATGGTAAGTGTTTGTGTATCTAAACATAGGAAAGGTACAGTGAAAATACAGTATAAGAGATTTTTTAAGAATGGTACACCAGTATAGGTATTTACTGTAGATGGAGCTTGCAGAACTGGAATTTGCTCTGGGTGAGTTGGTTTGGGAGTAGTGAGTGCATGTGAAGGCCCAAGACATTAGAGTGTATTACTGTAGACTGTATAGACACTGTATACTTAGGCTACACTAAATTTATTTTAAAAATTCTTTCTTCAATAATACACTTAGCTTACTATAACTTTTCACTTTATAAACTCTTAAATGTTTTTAACTTTTTAACTCTTTTTGTAGTAACATTTAACTAAAAACACATTATACAGCTATACAAAGGTGCTTTTTCTTTATATCCTTATTCTGTAAGCTTTTTTCTGTTTTATTTTTATTTTTTACTTCTTAAACTTTGAGTAAAAACTAACACAAACACACACGTTAGCCTAGGCCTAAAGGGTCAGGATCATCAATGACACCATCTTCCACCTCCACATTGTGCCACTGGAAGGCCTTCAGGGACAATAACACATGTGGCTGAAATCTAGGATAACAATGCCTTCTTCTGGAATAGCTCCTGCCTGAGGCTTTCACAGTTAACTTTTTAAAAATATGTAAGTACACTCTAATGTTTAAAAAGTACAATGTAGTAAATACTAGATGACAGGGAACTTTTCAGCTCCAGTATAACCTACGGTACCACAGTCGTATATGCAGTCTGCCCTTGACAAATGTTTCTCTTGTGTGTGACTGTGGGTCTCATTCTGTATCACTGACTCTGAACAAGTCATGATATATTTGAATAATGAAAACTATTTTTAATTTTACAGGTAAAATATACAAATTAGAGTTGTAGAATGTTTTGATTTCTTTATGTCAAAACTTCTAAAAAATTTGTAGTAATTTTAGATTCACAGAAAAATGGCAAAGTTAGTACAGAGAGTTCCTATGTACCCTTCATCCAGTTTCCCCTAATGTTAATACCTTATATAAACATGGTATTGGTTGATACTGTTAACTATACCAAAGACTTTATTTGGACTTTACCAGTTTTTCCAATAATTTCCTTTTTCTGTTCCTGGACCCAATTTTAAATACAATGCATTTAATCATCATGCCTCCTCACTCTAACAATTTTCCAATCTTTCCTTGTTTTTCTACCGTGACATTTTTTAAGAGTGCTGATTAGATATTTGGTAGAACATCCCTTAATTCAGGTTTGTCTGATATTTTCTCATGATTTTGCTGAGATTATAGTTTTCTGGGGAAGAAAATACTACAGTGGTGAGGTACCCTTCTCATTACATTATTATATCGGGGTGTAGGTGATACCAACATGACTTATCACTGGTAACAGGAACCTTGATCACTTGGTTAAGATGATATCTGCCAGGTTTCTCCGTCATAAAGTTATTTTTCCATTCCGTAATCTGTGGAAGCAAGTTACTAAGCCCGACCAGTGCTCAAGGGGAGAGGAATTAAGCTCCACTTCTTAGAGGAGGGTATCTACATATATTTGAAATTCTAATGTAAGGGAAATGGTGACCCTTCTCCATTTAGTCATTCATTTTTCAGTATAGGCACATGGATATGTATTTTGTGTGTGTATGTGTGTGTGTGTGTTAGTTACAATCCAATACTGTAATTATATGTTTTGTTGCTGAAAGTTCCCCAGCTTT